TGTTGAGATTCAAAGAGATCTTGAAATTAATAAACGAATAGTGATGAATATATTTGAATTCTGAAAAATCTTATAATAAATTTCCAATTGGGTTAGAGTTACATAGAGATTTAGATAAGGCTAACCGTTTACATTGCAAAAATACAGTAATACCAAAGCCACATACAAACTTGATACACTTGAAATATCACCCTTGACTGGCATGATAATAATAATACTGTATACAATTTAATGCACCATGCCTTACTGTGCTACTTCATGTAATATCCCTCCATATTTAAAAACAAACACCAAAAATAGATCTCAGAATAATAAAAAGGTGACAATAAAATTAGTTACTGTAATAGCCACCTACCCTAACTTAACCATGCTCCTTCCAGTACAGTATGAAGACCCTGAGCATCAATGGCACACTAATCATTTCTTGACCACAACATAATTCAACCACAAGTTCCGCAACAGAATATTTCCTTATTTGTATCCCAACTAAACCATATACAGCCACATATATCTTAGCTACCACCTCAGTTAAAAAACATGAACCAAACAACATATTAACTGAACAATCCTGCCAAGGTCTCAAAAACTAAAGGAAATGAAAGTCCATTTTGCTAGACAACAATATGGTTACACTGTGTGTGTGTGTACTCACTGATAACTACATTGCATTTATCTAAGTTTGTTCAGCAGTTATGTCAAGTACAGGTAAGGAATACCTCGCTATTCGCAACCCCAATAATCAAAATACCGCTTATCTGCGATTGATATTTTAACACCCCTATTCGATGTTCACAAAGCATACCCTGCTTATTTGCAATTGAAAAATTATGATACCCTACAGTAATACTTCTAACTGGGCGGGTTAGCCGCAGCTCTCACATTCCAATGTAAGGCCCGTTTCACGCACAGCCTTTTTTTATTCGCGCATACGGACATGCGCAGTTTAGAAATTAATGAATTCAATGGTACAGAGAACGCCCATGAAAATTCACATGTGGGAGATGCTCGCCCGATGCCTATACTTGTACTGTACCTCCAAACTGCAGTGGTAAAAAAGTACGGCAAGTGTTATAGAATTTTTCATGTGATGAACATGTTCTTTCCCATGCATCATTTGTAGTAGGGGCTGGAAGTGAGTGTAATTATTTTTGTCAGATGCAGGCGAACTGAAGCATGTAAAACACATCTGTGTGGACACATGCCTTCTCCCACATGGGGCAAAATCGCCGTGTGAAATAGGCCAACCACCGGTGCTACTTCACCTTACCTTTCCCCTACTGGGTCAACCTTTGAGTTTCATTGATGTTATTTTTCAACTCGTAATTTTGATTAGAGAGGAGTGGTGGCTGGTGGTCACTGGGGTGTGATGGTGGTGGTGGGCAGTGTGAGGTAATGGCTGATGGTCACAGGAGTGTGGTGGTGGGTAATGTGAGGTAGTGGTGGCTGGTGGTCACGGGAATGTGGTGGTGGGTAGTGCAGGGAAAATTCAGGGGGGGGGTCCGCCCCCCCCCCCCTTTCCATCATTTTTTTTTAATACAGTATTGTACTCATTCATTTTTGTAAAGTAAAAAGTAACTACTATTTACCTCAGAATATCTCCTAATATTAAGTACACATGGCTTCAAAATCAAAATGGCCTCAATTTTTTTTGGGGGGTGAGGGGGTTACAGTGCCCCCTGCCCCAGCTCAATGGGTCGCTATGCTAGCCATGTTCCCCCACCCACAACTTCTTGGACCCCCCCCCCCTTCCTTTTGATATTCCTGGACACGTCCCTGTAGTGTGAGGTAGTGGTGGCACATGGTCATGGGAGTGTGGTGGGTAGTGTGATTTATTCTAGGCAACGGAAGTGTGGTGGTGTGTTGTGTTTGTTGTTGGTGGTGATGAGTGTTGTTGTTGATGGTGGTGGTGTGTTGTGTTTTGTTGGTGGTGGCGATAAATGTAATTGTTGTTGGTGCTGAGTGTAATTGGTGGTGGTGGTGGTGGTAAAGTGACCAACGTAGGTAGTAGGCAGCTATCAAACAAAGGGAGGTACTACCGCCTGGGAAGATATTGGAAGCATAATGTGTTGTCTAATGGTAGACCCTGCTGCCATATGGCATCACGAAAATTGTGACCAAGTCCCAGGTTGCTGATCTGACTTTCTGCCTCATTTACACTTAATTGCAGGGTCTCAATTGTTTCTCTTACTTTGACCACCAACACTGGAGCGGGTTCAGGTACATTCAGGAGCCGGTGCATGCCCAGTATTTGCCAACAGTGCGTGACAGAGACGTGACCGATCGCCCGGGCGGCTAGCGAGCCGATCTTTTGGTGAAGAATATAAATGAAAAGAGACGTGACCGATCGCCCAAGCGGCTAACAAGCCGATCAGTGGCGAAGAGGATAAAAGTAAAAGTAAAAAAGTGACAGAGACGTGACCGATCGCCCAAGCGGCTAACAAGCTGATCAGTGGTGAAGAGGATAAAACTGAAAAAAACACAACATACATACAGTATTTCTCACTCTTGATATTTTTTCATTTTTTCTAAATTTATTTATGGCTCATTATTACAATATTATTATTTATAATTTTTATTAATTGTTATAATTGTTATTTATTTTTATTAATTTTATTATTATTATTATTATTATTATTATTATTATTATTATTGTTGTTGTTTTATTATACTTTTGCCCCCAAGGCCTTGATGTGGGTCATTAAAAATGACCTGTGCCTGAGTGGGTTAATGACCATAAAAAAAAAAAAACGTGCGGGTGTGATGTAAGCTGACAGTGAAGATATTGCCAACTGACGAGGCTGTATTTTGTCTTGATTTTATTTATTTTTATAATTTTTATTTGTTTCACACTTATTGGTACTACAGTATACACGTGATCTTGGTCCCTAATAGGCTTGGATAATGAGAGGTATAGTATATAAAATATGTGGTGAAAGTTGCCTGTTAGGAACACATCCCCCATTGACATAATTCTTAGGGGAAATTGCCCCGATATTTGCAGTTTCATTAATCACAATGACTTTTAGGAACGCGCCCCTTGCGATAACTGGGATATTCCTGATACCTGTATTCATGATTAGCACTTTAGTAAGAAGTAGTCCTTGTGTATGGGCCCCACTCTGTGCTAAGTAAAATCTTTTGGCCTTAGCCAAGTAAAATATTAAAAGTGTCATCCCTGTAGTGAAGGGATTAAAGTGATTGATATAGTTGATGAAGAATTAACGTCTCATATAAAAGCTTCAGTTCACTTTACAGTTGAGTTGGTTTGGTTTTATTTTATTTTTCTTAATCATTTTGTCTCAACAATTTTCGAGGCTTTAGATATAACCCCGACTTGAATGTTTATTAGCGTTTATGTTGCAGAGGTGATGATTTTTATTTTATTTATTTATTTATTTATTTATTTATTTTGAGGGTGATTTTCAAGACTCATGAATACTGATACACTGCAGTATCTGTATTTGTCATTTGAAACACATGCGGAAGTTTTGTAAAAGCAAAGTAAATAAGATGTTTTTAAATTGTTCAAATATGATATTATAGTACATAGTTATTGAACACAATGCAGCAGCACGACCACCAATACTGTAATTTTCAGGTCTGAAAGTATGTAGGGTCATGCTTGTTTTTCATACTAATATATTAGGTAAGTAGGTCGTGTCAAGTAGCTTACTGTAGTGCTCAAGTGAAATTTGGCCAATATTTTTTCATCTGCCTGTGATAAGAATTCTGCCGGGTGTTCATTTTTTCTAACGTATTTCAAATTACAGTGACCCCTCGGTTAACGAACTCAATCCGTTCCAGAAGGTCGTTCGTTAACTGAAAAGTTCATTAACCGAAACCATTGTTTCAATGGGTTTTTGGGTAATTGGTTCCAGCTCACCGAAAATTTCCTAAATTTAACAAAAATGGTAGAAAAGTTCACTTACTTTGAGGTGTGTATGTAGAAGGCTCCTGGATGATGATGATGATGATGGGAATTACAATGGGGGTGGAGGAGAAGGAAGAAGAGAAGGCATTGGGGTGGAAGAGAAGTCACCCCATGGCACCATTTCACCCATAAAATTTTAGTTCTCTTGGTGTATTTCAAGATTATTTTCTTTAAATCAACACTGTACTGCATTATATATTGCCAATATGTAAAATATATTTCAAAATGACCAATAATTTGCTTGGAAACCAGAAAAAAGCATTTAGTTGAAGAGATTCTCAAGCAAGATGTTACCTCCAGTGAAAACAGAGACTAACACCTGTTTGCTGTGTTAAGAGGCTGGATGCTGCGCTTTAAACTAGTCACTTTACCTTCAATTATGTTCAATAATTGTTAAAATGACTAAAAAATTGAATATTAAACTTTTAAAATTATTGAATAGAATAAACTTCTTGATATTTACTAAAATAGTTAGGAATTTAAGTCCTAGAACCGATTAATGTATTGGCGGACTGATACTAAAGCTGGTTGCCCGGCCAGTGCAAGCGAAAACATGTTGAGGTCGGTTCGTAAGAAATTCGCTAACCGAATTTTTGTTTGTTAACCGAATTGAAGATCCTTATGGAAGGCAGTTCGTTAACCGAAATTTCGTTAACTGAGGCGTTCGTTAAACGAGGGGTCACTGTATTCATGAGTTCTGGAAAAATACAGTTTGTAGTTTCGTCATTCAGCATTTTCTTCATATTTGTGTGTACAGTACAGCATTTTCATTTGTACAGTACAGTACCTGAGTTGTGGAAAAATACAATTTGCAGTTTGTCTATTCAGTTTGGGCCAGTATTGTATTATAGTATTTGTTAGAAACATTTTCCAAGACTATTGTGATGTACTGTACTGTATGTAGTAACAGTTCTTGGATTTTCCTCCACGATTTTAATATGACTAAAGGCTGACCGGGGTTCTTTTGGATTTGTTAATCTAATGCAGCTGGAAAAACAACCTTGGAGTAGTTTTGCAGCAAATTAAACGATAACTGTTGTTTTAGAAAGTGGTTCAGCTAAACAGCATATGACTTGAGTGTTGCAAGAGTAATGTTGTTGAAAGTGTCCCAAACAGCATATAACTGAGTGTTGCAAGAGTAATGTTGTTGAAAGTGTCCCAAACAGCATATGACTGAGTGTTGCAAGAGTAATGTTGTTGAAAGTGTTCCAAACAGCATATGACTGAGTGTTGCAAGAGTAATGTTATTGTAAGTGTCCCAAACAGCATATGACTGAGTGTTACAAAAGTAATGTTGTTGAAAGTGTTCCAAACAGCATATAACTGAGTGTTACAAAAGTAATGTTGTTGAAATTGTCTCAAACAGCATATGACTGAGTGTTACAAAAGTAATGTTGTTGAAAGTGTTCCAAACAGCATATGACTGAGTGTTACAAGAGTAAGATTATTGAAAGTGTCCCAAACAGCATATGACTGAGTGTTGCAAGAGTAATGTTGTTGAAAGTGTTCCAAACAGCATATGACTGAGTGTTGCAAGAGTAATGTTATTGTAAGTGTCCCAAACAGCATATGACTGAGTGTTACAAAGTAATGTTATTGAAGTGTCCCAAACAGCATATGACTCAAGAGTAATGTTGTTGAAAGTGTTCCAAACAGCATATGACTGAGTGTTACAAGAGTAAGATTATTGAAAGTGTCCCAAACAGCATATGACTGAGTGTTGCAAGAGTAATGTTGTTGAAAGTGTTCCAAACAGCATATGACTGAGTGTTGCAAGAGTAATGTTATTGTAAGTGTCCCAAACAGCATATGATTGAGTGTTGCAAGAGTAATGTTATTGTAAGTGTCCCAAACAGCATATGACTGAGTGTTGCAAGAGTAATGTTGTTGAAAGTGTTCCAAACAGCATATGACTGAGTGTTACAAGAGTAAGATTATTGAAAGTGTCCCAAACAGCATATGACTGAGTGTTGCAAGAGTAATGTTGTTGAAAGTGTTCCAAACAGCATATGACTGAGTGTTGCAAGAGTAATGTTATTGTAAGTGTCCCAAACAGCATATGACTGAGTGTTACAAAAGTAATGTTGTTGAAAGTGTCCCAAACAGCATATGACTGAGTGTTGCAAGAGTAATGTTGTTGAAAGTGTTCCAAACAGCACATGACTGAGTGTTGCAAGAGTAAGGTTGTTGAAGGTGTAAGTGTCCTAAACAAGTTATGACCAAGTGTTAGAGTAATGTTGTCTAGGGGTACCAAACATCTGTTCCGTTATCGCTGACTACTGTATATAAACTACAAAAACCTCCATACATTGGCAGCTTCATGGGTTAGATGACGATGCACAACATAAATGATTGGGAATACATGAAATAAATAGTTTTTGAAGGGAATCCATTTTTTTTTTCGCTATTAAAAATATTTTACAAGCACCTGGTCAGTGATATTAATGGTTTGAGACTCAGATGTATATTAAAAGTGTGGGCTCTGATATTCTAGTTGCCATATACATATACAGTCTCAATATGCCGTGTGTGCATATCAAATAAAACATCATAACTGAACTTGTTGAATAAACACACTACAGTATATAGTCATTATATTGTACAGTTAACATATAAGGAAAAATGTATAATCTAAATAAAAAAATATATAAGTAATTAATATTGTGTTGTAATTTGCCACTACACGTTTTTTATGTCTTATTTTTCTCTTCAGGTCCTAAATACTGTACTGTATTGCCTCCTGTGTGTCAAAAGAGTTTACTGCACTCGACTGCTAATGAGATAGGGTAAGGTTTTTTCTTAGAAAATCTTCAGTATTGAGGTTGTTTATTTATTTTTGATTTATCATTTCACCACTTAACAGTTTACTAGACATTCAGGGGGTGGTCTGTTCTGTGTTACTTTGTTTTGATCCTTATTGTCCAGTGTTAGTACAGGAGGAAACCTGCCATGTTTGGTTGGGTCTCGTCTGTCCCATTGCTCAAATCGACTGTAGTTAAATTTAAAATTATTGTGCTGCATAATTAACATAAACCTATTGTGCCGACTGTAATCATGATATGGAAAATTAATGTTAGAGACTTAAAGAAGCTTACCAATAAATGAAAATATAATGGTAGACAGAATAGCATCACTAGAGTATTTTGTCAGGTTTCAATGTTATGATTTTGCGTTTTTGTGAGTAGGTGGTATCGGTAGGTACTGATGGTTGGGCATAGCCAGTGTTATGTGTTAATGAAGCCATGGCACTGGCCGTCAGGTGGGATTTTCAATCTTTGGTGGAAAGTTTGGATCACCTGGAGATTAGTCCCCAACTTATTTCACCTTGAGATTAACCATCCCAATGCTAATCTCAAGGTATTGTTAATGGTTAATTATGCTGGACATAGAATAGATAGCAACCTTGTGGTATCCCAGTGTAACTTGAGTCACTGGAGGAGTTTCAAAGAAAGAATCATTAGAAAAATGATTATCATTGACTTACACTTATGTGGTAATGATTATAAAAGTAAATGACAAACTTAAAACATTATTAAGCAACAGTGCCGGATTTAGACCTGTGGAGACGTGATGGAATAGATAAACATGAATTTTAAAGGATGAAAATAAAAATAATCCAAATGAATAAACAAATAAATAAAATATTGTAATATGTGGAGGCCCCCAGATTGTGGAGGCCCCTGGGCAGCTGCCCACTTTGCCCACTCCTGAATCCTGCCCTGTTAAGCAAGATGAATAGCATGATTTGGAATACAGTACTAAGACAGAACAACAACATGCAGCCAAAGCAAAAATAATTACACAACTTTAATTATGCAATACCTTGAGGCAATGCTGTACACGTGGAAGGAACAATGGCAGTATCGAAAGGTTGTCACTCAAAAATCTATCTTCTTGCGGAAGTCGACCCTATTAAGAACATAAGAACATAAGAATGGAGGAAACTGCAGCGGGCCTATTGGCCCATACTGGGCAGTCCTGCTTACACCCAACCCCTATTGCTCATATAAGCATCCAACCTATGTTTGAAGCTACTCAGCGTATTCGAGTTAATGATGATATTTGGTAACTTGTTCCATTCATCCACAACTGTTTCCAAACCAGTGTTTACCTATTTCACGCCTAAATCTAAATTTGTCTAATTTAAAACCATTGTTACGAGTTCGCTCCTGGTTGGATGGTTTGAGTACCTTTGTAATGTCCCCTTTGTTTAGCCCTGACCTCCACTTATACACCTCTATCAGGTCGCCCCTCGCTCTACGTCTCTCGAGGGAGTGCAAATTAAGATGCTTTAACCTGTCTTTATACTCAAGGTTCCTAATGCCCGGGATTAGTCTTGTCATTCTCCTCTGAATTCTTTCCAAAGATTCTATATCCATTCTGTAATACGGTGACCAGAACTGAACTGCGTAATCCAGGTGTGGTCTCACAAGAGCAAGATACAGTTTTAGGATGACCTCGCTAGTCTTGTAACTAACACTCCTTTGTATGAACCCAAGTACTTTATTAGCCTTGTTACGAGCAAAAACACATTGTTTACTTGGCTTAAGGTTCCTACTTATCATTACTCCTAAATCTCTCGCAGTCGGATTTCTCTATGGCATCGTTGTTCATCTGGTATCTGGTTTCCCTGTTTACATCTCCTATACTGAGTACTTTACATTTGTCCACGTTGAATTTCATCTGCCATTTTTCACACCATTCGAAAAATTTGTTTAGATCTTCCTGTAGTTTTGCGGAGTCCTCATCAGATTTAATAACACGTCCTATTTTAGTGTCATCAGCAAATTTACTTATGTTGCTGTCTATGCCGATATCTATGTCGTTTATGTATGTAATAAATAATAATGGTCCAAGTACTGAGCCTTGGGGAACTCCACTTGTGACGTTGCTCCAATGGGACTTAGTGCCATTAATGTTCACTCGCTGTTTCCTGTCCTGTAACCACGCCCTAATCCATTTAAGGATATTACCTTTGATGCCATGTGCTTCTACCTTTCTAATTAGTCTTTCGTGGGGGACTCTGTCGAAGGCTTTGCTAAAGTCGAGGTATACCACAATCATAATTGTGCCCCTCGTCCACCGATTCGAAAACTGATGAAAAGAATGTTAATAGAATAGTTAGACGTGAACGTCCGCTTGTGAAGCCATGCTGGGATCATTGATCAATCGGTGCTTCTCCAGGTGATTTCGAATAGAGTTTGAAATGATTGCTTCCAGTAATTTGCCTATTATTGATGTTAGACTGATTGGGCAGTAGTTAGAGGATAGTGATCTATCCCCCTTCTTGAAAATCGTTATTACATTCGCTATCCTCCAGGATTCTGGTACTACACCTGTTTTTAAGGACAGGTTGTCTCGGTGAGGTTGCCCAAATCCTTCGCCGTGTCAATTTTTCAAAAAATTTGTTGAGATAGTTTTTTGAGTGGCTATATATAGCATGTTTTTTATTTTATTCTGGGTGAGACCCCCCCCCCCCATTAATTACGAGTAGGATAAACCAATCAGCAGGAAAGAGGTCTTGTCAGCAACACCCACCCAGTGGGCACTCAAGGCCACTTCAGCGTTGAATCGACGTTGCCTAAATATATTAAGTTAGTCTTGTTATTGTCAATTTAAATATAAAAAAAACATTGCATGCCTGTTGGACTCCCTATCCTTGGTTATGTATAAGCCTTAGGATCAATTCTTATACTCATACGCTACCCGCAGCGTTTTTGTAATGAGGCACTTGGTGTGTTTTCACTTTTTTTTTTCTTGAATATTGCATGGACTTATATCACACGTGACCCAGCAATAAAACACCTTCATGTGACATTAAAATCAACTTACATTTTGTCACAGATGTTTGCAGCAACTATACAATTTAAAGAATGGAATAGCAATTTAAATTGTGACAACTTTGAGCGGGGTGCCGAGTGCTTTCTTGTGACACTTCATTAATTGGTCTGACGTGTAGAGGACAACTGGATCAGGTTATTCTATTCAGATCAGGTCCAAGCCAAGCGACGGTAGACAGTAACCAGGTTTGGTATTCAATTTGCTTCTGGCTGCCATGAAATAAGGTCGGCAAGTGCTTAGTGCCACGTTCACTATTCTACTTTGTCATATAAATTCCGAGGTATGACAATGAAGTTCTTGGTCTGTGTGTTTACTGTACTTCGTACATGGCGTCATGGAATCCAGGAAAAAAGTCACAAGAAAAAAGGCACAGATAAAAAGGCACGGAAAAAACCTAACCTAAGCTAACCTAACCTAACCTAACCTAACCTAACCAAACTTAACCTAACCTACGTGCAATGCCATCATATATATATTGTGTTGTCAATGTGTACAAGTCATGTGACTTTTTTTCCTATGGATTTTATTTCCGTCCACCGGCGTCATGTCCCTCCGCGGTAATACTCTGGTTGAGTGACATAAAAATGACGCTTAATATCAGTGTCATAGCTGATTATGTAAGTATTCAATGTCATTTGTCACGCATTATATCTGGTGAGAATAATTCCATAATTTATGTATTGTCTTGCAAATGATTAACATTTCCGTAAGTAATTAATTAACTAGCGTTATGAGGGGAGGTAAACTCAGCCAGTTCGCCATAAAAATATCTAATTAAGAATGTTTGTATTAAAATTCCTCAACACTATGAAGCAAAACAAATCACCTAAGATAGTGTTGGATTTTAAACTTATACAGGACATCAACTTTGGTATCTGTACGAGCGAATATTATCGAATCTTCACCAATTCAAAGTTTTTTAAGTTTATATAATAACTTACTAATTACACTTGTTATAAAAAATTTAAATGTGTTAATTTCTCTGGTTAGAATTATATTTCTCATTTGATCCATAAAATACACTTGCTAGGATTATCATCTTGTGAATTATAGGGTGGCAACCGTAAGCTGGATGAATCAAGGGTGAAGTTGAGTGGTAGGGTAGAGGCAGACAACAGTAACTCGGCGAGGAACTTCAACCCCAATGTTGGGCGTTAATATGTACCGAAAAAATCAATGTAATAGCATTCACCGAAACATGGATATACTCACTACTGCTTGCGGTAACAAATATACTCGATTTAGTTCTGTCAAACAGAGAAAACCTCATTAGTAATGTCGAGGTAGGGAACGAACAAGCTAACAGCAATCACAAAGAAGTGAGATTCAAAATAGAAATTAATGTCAGTTGCGAGGAAAATTTCATTTAATTCCCAGATTTCAGAAGGGCAAACTTTGATAGGTTGAAAAGGCAGCTGAGAGAAGGAGTATTACTTTTGGGGGTGAATTACATGACCTCACACAATGCACCCACCTAGGGCGACCTCACTTTACCTGGTGACCTGACAATGATAACCTCACAAATATGACGGTTGAGGATGACCTGACCACGAGATCTGAGGTTGACGAGTTCAGTTACAATTTAAATATTGTATTGATACGCAAAGGTAGAATATAACGTACAGACAACCCAGATCATATAATAATGACCTTAAATGGATAAATAATTATTTAAAGAATATTATTGGACAAAGGAAGGCTATAGGTAGGAGAATAAATCGTGGTGAAGTTTACCTCCGAGATTTTTATAAAGTATTGGCCGGTAGGATTAAGACCGAGATAAGAAAAACAAAGAGGAATAATGAACTGAAGGTAGCA